CGGAGATATTCCTCCAGCATGTCATCGAACCGGTCTGTCTGGCCATCCGATGGTGGATGGATGTCTGAGTTGTGACTCAATGTTGACCCAAAGCACCTGAAGAGATGGGTCCAAAAGTTGCTAGTGAAGCGTGAGTCGCGCCTACTAACAATGTCTTTGGGCAGGCCCCAATGTTTGACAATGTGCGAGAAGAAGAGTCGAGCTGTATCTTCTGCTGATGCATTTTGCGAGGCTGCTATGTGTCACACCTCCTTTTTCACTTACACCCGCAAAGGGCATAAAGGAGTTTTTCCAATTAAAGGACAATCGGAACGGAATTTAATTATTAATATTCAGAGTCGCTACTTGGGAGATTAATGGTGTCCCAAGTCACCGGTTGAATCCCGAACCGAGGAAAAATATGACTCTGTTACAGTCTGCGAACCAGAAATCCGAGTAAGGAATTCTGTTAACCCGGAAGAAGGTGTTAGGCACTCCCTGGTTCCGTGGTTCTAGCACGGTCGCTTAACTGTTGCATTTGATTTTATCTGATTTTAATACCTTCTAGCTTATGTGCCTTTTATTCGTAAACTGCTTTTTATCTTTATTATTTTACAAGAATTGCAACGTCATGAAAACGCGTTTCGAACCACGTCGCAATCAATGCACCCGTGGTTGTCAACACATTTCGACTTCGTCGAGATTTGGATTTGGGTCGCATCAATGCGCACCCGAGTTTAAGAAGGTAATTTAATTAAAATCGCGCCTAAAGATTCTAACGTAATATTATTTTGGGGAAGGCCGTGAAATTCACTAAACGGCCCTCCCGAATTCTAAGTATTTTAATAACTATTTATCGAGGGCCCCACAATCTATTTATCTATCTAGAGAGGCTCGTCTCATTTTGTTTTAAAGGCCGATCCTAGAGTGGCTATGATTTTATACTATTTTTTTGTCTCGGAAAATAATAATTGATTAATACGTCGGTAACTTTCTTTATAAGAAAGACTGTCCCCAACATATGGGCTTACATGGACACTAACAGTCCCAATGCCAAAGAAGGCCCAATTCTCACGCAAACACATACCAATGAGCCCAGGTTCGAACCTGGACGGAAATAACACGACGTTCACCCCAATCGATCCAAAACACCAACTCACTATTTTTAGCATTACCTCACTTCGGATCTCGGTTTTAACCAATCAAAACACAAGTGAACAATTATTTTTATTTAGCTTACTACCATATGAATTGTAAAATAACACGAACATAACGAAAGTGCAGTATCAAATTTGAACAACAAACTTGCCAAACAAAAGGCTGTTTTCGACTCTAGCACCAGAAACGTTAATATTAAACTGAAATTCGTGTATTGACTCAAACTTATCATTTTTATGCATTTCAAAATTTAAATCTAACCACCAGCTTCACACTTCAATTACTTCCTGACTTTTAAGAAACAAACTGTTGCTATTTTTATTATCAACTATTTGCACAAATCACAGTTGTTATACAAATACGTTCATAAGCTAACAATAATCAATCCAAATGGACCTATCTGCTTCACTGATTGACTGGGTCAACAACACCATATTAATTCGAATATGAGCTTAAACCAACATTTAATAACATGATATAACAAGAGATAGGGATTATCAATGACCAATTCCAACTGCCCATTGCCTAAACCAATTAACAGCCCACAAATTAACCACAACATCAGTCCTATTATTACATATCCGGTACAGATTTAATCATTCCAAATGAACACCAAGGAAACAGTGTATGACTTAAAGTAACAACACAATACTTGCACTTCAATCTCTTTTTCAATTCAGTTTTATTCAGCTTGTAAACACATACACCACTCAATGCTAGAGATAAGTACCTGGAAGTAACGAAACAAATGGGGAATAAGAAGGATCAGCAGCAGGCAGCAGAAATAATTGAACCGCAGTAATAGTTTCAACCCAGCAAGCAGATCAGCAACCCAAGTACCAAACAGGAAGGAGAAATTGACCAAAACAACATTAATGCCAAACAAACGAACTCAAATGGCATCCATAGACATCAGCAACCGTCAAACTCTAATAAATCCCAGTTTAATTCAATCCAAAATGCTTAATAACAAACCAGCATGGTTCAGAGCACTCTAACAATCAAAGGAGAAGACTAATTTTTTTTTTGAGGGGATTTTGGGGCTCTCAGCTGAAGGAAGAAGACCCCTTCCCTAAGGCATTTCATGCCCTTTTATAGGCAACAAGAGAGAGTAGATCAGATTTTAGGCCTTCTTTTTTAGTCCCTCCCTTATTTTCAGTTTAGTCCCTCTATTCTTGACTTGCTAAACAAGTAAATGCATCACAATTATTGAAATCTACACTTGTACCCCATTCTAGAAGCCTCTAGGATGCTCTTTTAGCTAGGCAATTCCTATACTACCCTTACTCCTGCTTTGAAATTACTAGTCCTTAAAGAAACTACCCCTTTCATCCAACTAGAATTACTATCTTGTTTTCAGCTATAACCATACTGCTCAAACAGCCGAGATTTAAACAAAACTTCAAACATTTACCCCAAATCAAACAAAATTCCGAACAATCCAATTATTAAAACAAACTACTTAGCATGAAGCCACCAACCAAAGAAGCCCCGATTAATTCAGAGTTTGAACTAATCGACTGACAAGCCCACGCCCAATATTGATAGAAATATATGAAGAATAAACAAATACACAAACTATTCTAATCGAATTCACTAGCTAAACCCACAGACAACAGAAAGCGTGAGGCCATGACTTCTAATCCTAACTGATTGTTCAACAAACAAGGTTATGAATTAAACTAATTGACATTCAACTAAACTAATCAACACAAAACAAAACTGAACAAAGCGATGAACAAAGAAACT